TATAAATATGCGTGCGTGCGTATATGTGTGTGTGTGTGTGTGTGTGTGTGTGTGCATATATATACATGTGTGTGTGCGTATATGTGTGTGTGGATATCTATGTGTGTGTGTGTGTATATTTTTTTCTTTTGGTTCAGCTTAACTTTTTGGCAAAAGCCAACTAAGTCATTTTATTATCTACTGTTAAACTGAAGCCTAAATGTGTATAAATAATTAAGAATAAATTATTACATAAGAAAACTCACGCGTTGCAGAAACTTTGTGCATCATTCCAGGTGTAATACAGCTGATGGTAAAAATATCTTCTCTGCACCACAGATGTGAGTCCAGAGGTCATGAAGAGGAGGAGGGTCAAGGGTCCAAAGAGAATGTTCTTCATTTAAGAAATCTGTGTTTGCTGATTTTTGGTCTTGTTTTCTAAAAATAAAAATAAAAACAACCTATGCAGCAGATAAGTTTAAATATCAAATCACACGTGTACACCAAATCCAAGAAATCATTAATTGCAATTTAAAAAACTGTCCTCTCCCATAATTTAATAACTACATGAATAATTTAAATTAAATAATTTAGTTGGGATAATTACCTGTCCTGTGTTCCCCCACTCAAAGTATTGCTGCAGCTTGATGAACCAAAGTCCATCTTGGATCTTATTTTATCTCCCACATTCATTTGATTAACAGATACACCTAAAATCAACTGTCATACCATCTCATTGCCTGTATCCAGAAACCATTTGACTGCTGAAGGGAAATGGTGAGATTTAACTACAGGCAAAAATTTTAATGAAACAACATTGAGAGAAAAGAGGCAAATTAAATCAAATCATTGTGCTTCTCAACATCAAGTTCAGCAAATCACCTGTTCTGTTGTGGGTGAGTTTTATTTCTTTATTTTTAATTGCTGAAATGGAGGCGGTGGCATGGTGTCTCAGTTGCTGTTGCCTCCCAGCAGAAAAGTTGGCAGATAAAATCCCAGCCGCTGACCTTTCTGTCTGAGTTTGCATGTTCTCTTCCTGCAGGCATGAGTTTTCTCCAGGTACTCCGATTTTCTACTACAGGTGTTAAACCTGTTGAGATTAAGCTCTCATGCGCAAGGTGGACCTGGGCAAGGGTTTAGGTTAACACCGTTAGAAAAATTATACAATACTTTGGTGTTTTTCTATTTATATTGTGTTTTTCTTAAAAGTACTATGTCAAACTTTTACAAAGATTCTTAGACAGTAAGAGGTCAATCCATATTGTATCATGGCATCATTATTAGGAGGTAAACACTCTGTTTTCCATCTGAATCTTGAGACTAACTTATACAGACTGTCAAATTGCAGAAGCCTCAAGGATGGAGAGAACATAACAGATATGCACAGGAATTAAACTGTGCTGTGAAGTGTACAGCAGGGGTTCTTAACCTTTTTTGACCTCAGGGCCCAATTTGTTGAACATAAAGTGGCACAAGGCCCATTACCAATGTATGGATCAAAATGATAATTACTGTATTCTAATCTAAATCTTGGTTTAATTTTTTTTTGTATTTACAACATAACTAAACTATCATAACTAACATAACTAAATTAAATGCACTTACAGTTTAAAAGTAAAACTCCTGTCAAATAATCACAAGACATGATTACGACAAATTTTTATATTGTAACCTGCCCATAACAATTATTTGAACAAATAAAATGGTCAGTCAACAGACCACTCAGGTTTATCAGCACAATATACAGGTGCTGGTCATAAAATTAGAATATCATGAAAAAGTAGATTTATTTCAGTAATTCCATTTCAAAAGTGAAACTTGT